GGAAAGCTAGGTAGGTTAGACCCCTCTCCTTTCCTTCCCTCCACCTCTGCCTAATTCCACATCCACCTCTGCCTCTGGTGCTGAAAGAGATGATTACTCCTCTGGTCCAGAATGGCAGCCAGCCCCAGCCACTGCCTATAAGTGCAGTTTCAGTGCAACTACTCTGCTGTAGGATAGTATGTGTCCTGGACAGTACTATCCTACAGTGGAGTTAATTAATTTACTGCACCTTAATAAGGGTGCACGTGTAGATAATGAGGCTTTACTGTAGAGCTAATTAAACAGTGCACGTGTAGATGTACCCTGCAACTATCAACTGCAGGCATAAAGTTCATGGGTGCAGGAGACAGGTCCAGCCTTATGCAGGAAGTAGCAACCATTGTGTGGCAGGGCACTGGTAGTGCCTGCCCCTTTAAGGGTTGAGTCAAGCAGCCAGTAGGTGCTTGATTGCAGCAGCCATTTTAAAACACTTCCTGCCTATATAAACTGAGCAGCTCACTGTGGGTGAGCAAGGTAGAAATATTGCTTAACTGAGCTGCAGTAGGAACAACCTTGGAGATAAGGACAGGAGCTCATGGGGATGGTTTGGAGGTTCCTGGTCTTGGGCATGACCTAAAACTCCACTTTGCTGGAGATGTGTGACCTGGTGGTGTGGCTGTCCCCACAAAATGCCAGGCCAGTTACCTCCCTGGTGAAAGGTGAGGAGGGGTGCCTTAACCCCAGCCCTGATATTTGGGTGGCTTTTGGAGGCAGCTAGGAGAGTAGTGGGGGCCAGATATGCCCATGTGTAGGTGCCCAAGCCCAGCAGGGATGCAGATCCTGGAGACCCCAGAGGGGGTAGTATGTAGAGTATTGGGAGGCAGATGTAATAGGCTTGAAGGGCTATGCGTGTGAAGGGGCTGAGTATGGCTGAAGTGTGAGTAGGCCTGAAGGACAGTTCTAGGGGTGCGCTGAATAGGGCTGAATGGGAGTAAGCCTGAAACTAAGTGCAAGAGCCAGCCCTGTGAGAAGTTGTTCCCGGTGAGGGGCTTGGGCAGAACTGGTCCAGGGTTTGGCACAAGGCTGACCCACATAGAGTAGGGGAACTAGCGGGAACTGAAGGACTGTGTGGTAAGACCAGTACATGAGTAGCAAAGCCTGATGACCCAAGAGGGGCTCCTCAAGGAGAAGCAAGGGTGGGGGAGTGTGGCCCAGTAATGGGTGGTATGCTAGAGGCCCCACTGAGAGGGGAGATAGTATGAATGTGTAGGTGAGTGGAGCCCAACTTTGGATTGGGTTTGCTCCAGTCTCAGACCAGGGAGCAATACTAATCTGGATGCCATCTGCGAGGCATGGGCTACGGTATAGCGGAGCGACGGAGCTGCAAATAGCGCCCCTGGCATTGGGGCATGTAATGGGCTGTCTCCTGTATTTACCGGCTGTTTGTAGGAATTGCAAAGTCATGCTCTGTAGTGACAGGTGGGAGGCTGACATAAGACCCGGCAGCAGGAGAGTCCCCCCTGTCACACATTGCAAACCTCATCACCTTTTGGCTAGAGACAGAAGTTGCACACAAATCAGTTTACATGATCAGAAACTGGTTTAAACCTGTAACAGAACAGAAGTTCAGTGCATATAAACTGCTTTCAAAATGGCCAAAACTGGTTTAAGACAAACCTGGTTGAATGCAGTATCAGACTTAACTGGTTTAGGGAACTTCTGTCCCAGACCCCTTCCTGGTTCAGGTTAACTCAGTCCCCCAGCACCCCAAGATGCTTTGCAGTCCTGGGCTGGGCTGGGCTGTCTGCTTCAGGGAGCAGGGTTGGCCCCGCCCCTCTACTCCCTAGCCAGAGCACTGTCACTGCTTCAGCTGGCTAAGAAGGAGGTGGGGGTGAGAAACTGATTCTAGATGGCAGCCAGGTCTGCCTGGCAGGGGCAGGGCAGCCCCTGCTAGGCTTTTCCCCCATTTGCCACTGAAGTAGAGAAGAGGGGAGGGGTTGGAGGGCCACTAGACCCAGGGGCCAGGCTGGCAAAATGAGGCAAAAGGAGGGGAGGTGGTTTTAAGTCCCCTCCTCCCACCCAGGACCCCAGTTGGGGTCTTTTCCCAGTTGCTACTCCAGTAGAGGAGGCAGGGGTGTGGCTGGAAAGCTTATGTAATTGGAAGGTTAAACCCCCTCTCCTCCCCTCCACCTCAGTGTGCCAGCCTCATGCCCCCACCCCCTCTGCTCAAAAGGTGAGCAGGAAAAGCCTGATTTGGGGGGGGGGGGGGGGCGGGTGCTGTTGTGCCCCTGACAGGCAGACCCTGGTTGGGGCAGGGAGAGAGGGGTTATATTCCTTTCCCTTCCCTCCCCTCTGCCTCAGTATGTTGGCCTGGGCAGATGTCTAACTAAGACCCCCTTCAGCTCCAGCAGAGAGTGGGGGGAAAAAAGCCTTGAGGGTTTCTCTTCCAGCTTCCTTCTAGCCTTTTGGCCACTGCTGAGGAGAAAGGAAGGCATGCTTTAGTGCCCCCCAGCTTCTGGCCTGAGCCACTGCAGGCACGTGCTTGCATTTCCCGAATAAAAAGTGAATGTCTGTTCACTTGCTTCTCGGTTCAATCTGCACAGTTTAGACCAACCAGCAAAGATTGAGTCAATTCAGCCTCAGGCTTTTTGAATGTCTGTACCTAGCTTTTCTGCCTGAAATGTAGAGTAAACTTCTCTGACTTGCCTTTACTAATGAGACTCATTCAATAAAGATAATAAATAGTAACAAATATATTTTTCAGTTTCTACATATATTTTTTTCGCCCCTACAGAGAGGAAGAAAGGTAAAATTGCATGGGACAAAATTATCCATGCTCATGGAAAGCACTCAAGATACCACAATGACGGGCCTGGGATAAGAAGCAGAATGTCATAGTACAAAGCTCCCAGGAACTGCAGTATACAATGGACTTAAAGGTGATTCGGCTCCCCAGGATAGACTTGTTAGATGCTCCAAAGTGGTTTAGAAACCCAATTTTAGAAGATACTACTTTTTTTTTTTTTTTTTTTTTC